TCCCATCTGACACAGAACAAAATACAAAAGGGTTGTTTTTAAAATGGCACTACTGGGCACTCAATACAGAGCCCTATGAAACATGAACCCTTGGAAACTAACTTCATCTTCACAATACCTGGAAATACCGGCAATAATTGTCACAAGTATTGTTATTTTAACACATGAATAGCATATTGCAGACCTGAAACCACAAGTAAAATAATGAAAGAGGAACAGCTCTCTGAAGAGCACCGGTCAACCACAGTTTAGAAAACTATACTGTAAATCACCGTATGTGGTGGAGCTAGACGCTGTTTATACCTCAGGAGATTTACCTACACTGGACTAGGGGAAGCACTATGAAACTTTTGCATGCCATCTTCTATGCCTCTCGTAAAACAGCTTTCAGATTCACTGCAAGGAAGTTAAAATACAGCTAACAAACCCAGAAAAGATGACATGCTTTTGAAACACCTGTGGATCCCATTTTATCTAATAAGAGACAGTCAGAATGCCACTAGTGACAAATTTGCATGATGATTCACTTAAGTCTTAATGCACACAAAAGCATATTGAGGGAAGACACCACAGGGTGTGACCGCTGCGGAAGCCACCAACCTACCTCCTGAAGTTTGAAGTTCTTCCTCTCCGAGAACATAACCTCATTCCAAACCACCTCTACACCTTCCTCTGTATCCATGGCTAGGTAGGCAACGTCGATGCCAGGGACATTACGCTGGTTTACCTATCAAAATAATAAAACATTCATCAATAAATGCACACAATCCTATAAAATGAGCTATACAGTACTGCAGTGAATCACTACAGATGGGCATCTTGACACTGCATAAATGAAAGGTCATATGCAACACATCAATTAGACTGATCATGCTGAAAAACAATTTTGCATATCCTTGCTGTCCAATGAATAACATGTATCTCCAAAATTCCATTACTACATGACTGTGGGGAAAAAAACACATTTTCTGAGAAACTACTTCAAAAAATAAACCTAAAAAACTGCAATGAGACACCATTAGCATCACAAACAGACGGAAATATTTACACAGCTGTCAGTGAATTGTTTAATGTTTTAAATGGATTGTTGTCAGAGAAGCAAACATGTCAGTGTCAACAAGATACTCATTAACCTCTCTTTGTTTTCTCCATTAACAAAGATGTTACTTAGCTATCTATCTAGCTGTCAACATTAAATTGTTAAAATTGCCAATATAAAGTAATCCATACAAATTACCATCATGAATACAAATGTTAACTAGTGCAAACATAAATACTAAGTTAGATAATGTCATAAACAGCTTTTCATTGGTCAAAATCAGGGTAATCAAAAAACGTTTTTTGACATAGGCGGTTTTCATCAGATAATGACAATACATGGAATTACAGTAAGTAAATAGACCAAAATTAACACAAGACTGTCCAAAAAAAGGTATAACCGTTATGGCTTAATACAGAAATAACCCAAAACAAACAAGTGATTCACTCTGACCTCCTTTATGCTGACCAATAAAGCAATTATGTGGCAAGTTATTTACCCAATTAAATAACTATCCTTCTGGTAGCAACAACAATAGCAAAGAACAACTGTAGTAATGATAATAAGATGGTTATTTAAAATGTAAGAGGCAGATGTCACTTACCTCTTCTCTACGTTTCTGCCACCGTCCACAGGGACTCTCCTCCAAAATCTCAGACTCATCCTCACTCTCCTCCTCATCTTCAGGAGCAGGGGCCACTGGCGTGACAGAGGACACTGGAGGAGACATGGAGGCTACACCCTGGACACCTGCAGCAGGGACTCCTGCCTCCAGCTTGCTTTCACCGGCTGTGGCTGTCTTGCTCTCCCCCTCTGACATCCTGTGCCTTCTGCTTTTGCTAGACTCACGTGTGACTAAGCTCAGTGTTTGTTCACAACCTGCAGCTGGCAGACAGGAACAGATATAGATTCAGTACAGGGTGTTCTGCAAGTAAATCACACACCATGCAAATTGTTTTAGCCCAAGAAATGAATGAATGTTTCGAGCTGCAGCCTGTGTTTAAAGGTAATTGGAACTGTTGGTTATGTAGTAACATTTCAAAATTACGCAACTCATAGCTGAAAGTAATAACCATAATAATCTGTGCCAAATAAATAATGTGATTGGAATATGAAAACTGCAATTTGGAATTAAAAAAATAAAATCACTGTAGAATGACTTTTACATTCTTAAAATTCATCGACATATACACAGACACATACGTTGAAAAAATCAAATATGTATTGCTTTGCAAATATTAAGACATCTCAATTTTATTTGCCTTACTGTATTTCCATAATATTGCTTCCATTGTAACTGACACCACGATTCTTAATGACATCCAGAATACTCGCATCACATGAAGGACACCGACAGCCTTATGAAGAGAATAACTTCATTTTTAACACACGAAATTACAAAGGGACTCGGCGCCGTATTCGGATACCGACGGCGGCCCTCCGGCAGCCGAGACCGCGGGGGCGGCAGGCAGAGGCGTAAGCGCCGGTAGCCAAAGCCGGCTAGCTGGCTAATTAGCTTAATGCGACAGTGGGTGTCAGTGTCTTGTCCTTCAGTTTTATTTATTTTGGTTGCTTTCGAGAAAATCTCGTGACTACCAAAAGAAATAGCAAACAAGGGGACGTCTCACGTCACGCCAGTCAGCGACATAAATGCCAATGAATCCTTTACAGGTTTAGCACGGCTGAAGGGAAGCGATACGCGTGTAGCCGCTGACTCGCTATGAAGCCTTGACTAGCAGCCAAACAATGGCTACGTCGCCGTCAGTCTCCGCAGCTACGAGTAATGGCGCTTCGTCAAGAAAAAAAATATAACGTGAGAAAGTACCGAGCAAATTGGGTCAGAGCGGCGGCTAACGGATGCTAACACATGCTAACGCGCCGTAGAGCCACTGACCTGTCAACACGGGCGAGCCAGCGGGCAGGTAAAGTGCTAGTCAGTCCACCGAAGGAGCAGGCTGACCATCTGCTCATTTCGGCCCAAACACGGCCGGTTGCTCCTCTCCCACCGAGTTACCCGGCCGACGACTCTCCAGATACCCTTAGGTCTCACACAGTCGGACGGCGTGCTTGGTATGCTAAAAAAAACAATTTGCCCAAATGTAAATCCGATGTATGCCAGTTCTCTACCAAAATCACTAGTGTACGTATGTAGGTAGGTATTGGTTTGGGTAGTGGGCTATCGAGACACCTAGCGAGGTGCACACTACCTCATGGGTGAATAAGACTTCATATATAATACTTAACAGAGATATCTGTTACAATCTAAAAGCTAATGCACTGCGTTACTACACACATCACCGAAACGCCCCATATTGACGTTTGCGGGCTTCTACGCTAAACTCCGCGACGCTTCACGGACATGGACGCACTGCGGCCGGCGCAAGGCAATGACGTAAGGCGATATTTGGATCAGCTGTTTACGGGGTTGTCACCCACTGCGCATATTTATGCCAAAAGCGTGAGACAATGACGAGGCATCAGCCACATAGTGGATGTATTTTAATTTAGACGCATGTGAAACTAAGGAATTTTTCGATGAGCAAAAATCATCTGTAGGTCTACGTAAATGGCAGAATGATTTTTTTAAAGGAATAATTGCCAAACAACTTAAAATCTATTATATTAAACTTTGTTTAGATTGTAAGTTGTTTGTTGAAGTCTGGTGTATGGTTTGATTATGTATCCAATTTTCTTACTACCAAATCTCTCCCTACTGTATGACTGCAAAAAGAAAATGGACCAATAGATTTTACAGGTGAAATAACTTCACCTATTTAGTCTGAGAAAACCAATTTCCCTGAAAAACCAATTTCACCAAATGAAAATTAGTATAATACTATATATAAGGTCAAAAATAGGTAGTAATATAAGACAGTGAAATAAAGAATTGACGTTCAATCTGCCAGTTAAGAACCATGGTGTCTAATTAATGTTCACTTTTCTGCCCATGTGAGTGTGCACATTCATTTCATTTGGATGACATTTCTTTATGAACCTTTCAAAGAGGGTTAGACAACTGATTACAGTTACCAATTTTAACATGAAATCCCATGGTGACTTTTCTTAAAGAGGTTTTATGGCCAAAAAGTATGTAGAAACAGCCAAATAAACCATTTTAAAGACATTTTACTAAATTAAGATATAGTTTAAGAAATTGTAAAATGTCTCTATATATATAAAGTGTATTACATGATATGTTACTCTTATTTTAGGGTACAGCTGTATGAAATCAAAGTATTATTTTATACATCCATCCATATCCCAGTCTATTATCCAGTACATGGCCATAGGGGGTCTATGGCACAAGATGAAAAACATGCTGATTGGGATGCCAGTCCACACTACAGACAATAGAGACAAAGGTTCAATTCATACTGTGTCTTTGAACTGTGGAAGGCATCCCACGCACAGCAGGGAGTATACCCAAACCCCACGCGCCGCGGGGAGTACACCCAAACCCCACGCGCCGCGGGGATGGGATTCAAACCCACAATCATGAAGGTGTCAGGTGACGGCACTGTTATGTTTCCATTGGACAGTTGTCCTTCATCCTGTTTGCACTGTATCCTGGTAAGTGTAGTCATCTGTGTTCACAGAACCACAACCTATTCAAAAATGTTATGACATACTGACAATGAAGAGTTCTGAGCTCTAAATATGAAGTTGGCCAAATTAAAGTTCAGTTTTCTGCAATCTTGCAATCAAGGACATTTGGCACATTCAAGGTATAGTCAGACCATGACCCGCAGTGAAATGCATGGCTATCTAGGGATAAAATTACAAACAAATACATATTGTCTTATTTTTGAAAAGTATTGTGTATGGATAGTAAATAAATCTTCATATGAAATATGTTCATATGCAGTGGAACTAATCTGCATGCATAATCCCCAGTCCATTCAGACGCATATAAAATAGTCTACACAGGCTGGTAACGACTGCGCCCGCAGGCAGAAACTAAACGCAGTTTTCATAGGCTTACAGCTTTCATTTGCAGAGGAAAGAAATAGAATAATATTGTAGACAGACAGGCTGATCCGCGCGTTTAATAAGCGAGGAGGATGAAGGAGACGGGGGTGCGAATTCTCTGGGCACGCAGCCTTTGGAAAAGGGAATGACGTAGTGGGAGAGGTAGCTATTCCGTCGGGAGAGTCTCAGCATCTCTGTGCGCGGTTGCTACGTCTAAACGAAAAAAAAAGTGCACTGGGCGTGCTCTGTAATAAGATCTGAAACAAAAAATCTCAGAAACGCAATGCCTCCGACGTATCCCGAGATACACCGGCGTGTTTACGAATATGATAAAGCCAGACACGAGTCATACGGGTCCCCCACGTCTGGCTGCTAGATTGTAAATAGGAAGCATTTTGGGAGGGGGGACTCGGTGGGAAGGGGAGGGTCGAGTTTCAGGAAAAGAAGGAGAACATTTTTTTGAGGGGAGGGCAAGAAGTTCATACTTAAAAAACGAGAAAACATTTGACATAGGGGGCTCGCTGTGCGCTTGTGCGGGAGTCGTCGGTGCGTGGGGAGAAGATGGCCGGGAGCTGCAACAACCTAGCGACGGGGACCGGGGAGATCATTCAGCTCAACGTCGGCGGTACGAGGTAGGTCCGTCGACGGATAATTTTTGCATATGTATATGCACCTTTTTCCGTATAATAAGTCAAAATACCGAAAAGAGAAAAAAAAACAAGTGCGCGGATATCGGCACAGGCCTGAGCGCCGATGCGCGGCGAGATGGGGACAGTATGTGCGCGACATCGCAGGACATTACGCGGGAGTTTGGTCGCTGTAATGCGTCCCTGCCCTGTGTTTTTGTTTAAGTGTTTAAGATCTCTAGCTTTTTTTCCAAGCAGATATTTAGCGAGAAGTGCACAGTTGTTTGTGAATATTAATATTGGAGTTAATTGTGCGTCATTGGGAAAACGGCGAAAAGTTCGAAGGTTGGGAACCGTGTTAGTGTTCTTGAAATGTGTTCTTAATCACGTTATTGACATACATGGATAGAATTTATTTCCCGTTGAAGAACCCCATTTGTAAGGTGTGTGTGTGTGTGTGTGTGTGTATATATATATATATATATATATATATATATATATATATTTGTCTCTAGCTACCACTGATTTATGGATGGACGTGTAAACGCAATTACTAAATGCTACGGTGATGCTAAGGAGTTAAATGGATTATCGATTAATATAGTGAATAAATTCCATCCAACATTTTGGAGCAGCGTATCAAAATGTTTTACCAAGTAACAAGTCCATGTAGCGATTTTAGACGTCATTTTCGTAACATTGTGTACTGTGCATCATGAACAGCCCTGACTTCAGCATGTTGGACTGAAACAAAAAGGTATTTGGTAATACTTGATAACGGGTAGAAAAAAAAGTTAAAAATGAGATTTTTGGATAACTCACAGTTTAATTTAATGGGTTTCGAGCTGCAAGAATTTCCACGTTTGTCACACAAGCGTTAGCCAGACAGATGCGTGCTGGCAGTCCGTCCAGATAGTTTGGGACGCGGAACCGCTGTATGTTAACCTTAGGATATGACAGTCGGTAAATGATGTGTCGCAACGCTTATTCAGGTGCCTAATGAAATCATACTGGGTTGTGTTCAGCCTCCCATACTATGAATCATAGCAAAATTAATGAAAAGCAAATTAGTATTTCAAGTTTTTGCCCTGTCATTCCCTTTTGCAGTTATTTTTTATTGTTCAATAAACCAGGGAATGTTTTTTTCACTGTTGCACATATTTATACAGCTTCTGTTTATGGAAACAGACCAGGCTAAGTAATAGTACTTTGCTTTAAGGTAAAACCTTGTCATTTTTGCATTTGAATGTTGGGGGGGGGAATTCAATCATATGAACAATGCATTACTTATCAATGTATAATATGCATTAAGTATTATCACATACAGATGTATGATTCTAACTGCAACAAGGCAAACATCGACAGGGAATGTATATTTGATTTTGGGTGTGTGTTATGGTAAGATGTTCTGTACAGAATTATAATTGTGCTCATTTATCATGAAGCATTAATATTAACATCTTACCTCAGTCCTGAACGTTCCTTTTATGTTCCTCCAGGTTCAGCACCTCCCGGCAGACGCTCATGTGGATCCCCGACTCCTTTTTCTCCAGGCAAGATGCTTCTTTGTTCTTTTAGAGGTTCATTACTGTTGTATTAAGTCGAGACTTTTCTTCAAAAAGCAGGTTTAATGTCCTTTTTAACTACACCAATATATCATCACAGAATATTTTTTGAAAAGAGAAGGTCTTCATTTTGACTATAATGTTTTTCACTTAAAAGCCTTGTTCTGTGTACAGCTTCAAAATATAAATCATTTCTTGGATGAAGTAAGGATAATTTTAATAAGGATGATGGATGGATCCCAACTTTTTTTTGTAAGCAACCAGATATGTATTTTCTACTTGGAAGTGAAGATGTGCTTTCTAACTAAATGAGGGAAATGTGAGTAGGGCTCCCAGTAGGACTGGGTGGCCGCTCATTTCTCTCAACATGCTGTGTTATGCTAAAGCTCCATACTGCTCTTGCTTGACTGGATGTTGTGCTCTTGCATTACAGTTTGCTCAGTGGTCGGATATCGACTCTTCGGGACGAAACTGGAGCGGTGAGTACTGCTGATGGGAAGAGCTTTTTGGTGTGGAGCTGAACCATCTGCACAGCCCTTTATGTGTCCAAAATGCTTCATTTTAGCAGACAGACAGATTCTATGGGCGCTTTTCCACTGCACCAAGTACTTACTTACTACTGTACCTTTGGTACTTTCTCTTTTCCACTGCACCAAGTACTTACTTACTACTGTACCTTTGGTTCTTTCTCTTTTCCACTGCACCAAGTACTTACTTACTACTGTACCTTTGGTT